ATATGAAATATCAGAGAAAGCAGCCTGGGCGTGCTGCGCAGCTGTGACGTAAAGGAGACCAGAAATATGACTATGAGAATTGCTGCAGTGCTTTACCTTTTATTCTTTGTCTGCCAAAATCGAATCACTTTATCATTGAGTCCACATTTAGGATTAACCTGAGGTCACAGTGACCATGACCTTTAAATGCCAAAATAAACAATAACAGCATTAGGTTTGGTTGGGTCCCCCTTCTAAGCCCCTGCATCTGTTTCTGGTGGACTGATGCAGTAGGCCAGACAAAGCTTTAACATCACCTTTAGGCATCTTTTGCAGCAGTTTGAAGACTGGGCTCTTCTCAATGAGAGGTTTTGCTTTGAAGAAATGCAAAGCAGGAGGAAAAGGTGTGGCAGACATCTCTTGCTCCTTCAATCGATGGAGGTAAGCGTCCAGCTTCTGCTCGGCCGCTGTCAGCACCACTTGTCCTCCCGTTTGCCTGGATGCCTCCTGACGCATCAGCAGGTCCCTTTGAGCTGGGTCAGGCATCCCTTCAGTCACCCTCACAAACCACAGAAGGGGCACATAAGTGACCACAGCCCAGAGGAATGAGATCACCATGTCCTTGTGTGCCACCGGAGGGTGCTGTATCCCTACTAGAACAACATGTTCTCACTCTTGAAAGGAGCAGGCTGTATTTGGTGCTGGAAATGAGAAGATACTCCATGAAAGACACGAATACTGTCATTAAAGGAGAAGTTTTTGTAGCTTTGATAGTAACTGAATAAATTTCAAGCTTGTTACAAGTTCTTTAGGATTATAACATGCTCACACAGTGCTGACAGATTCTAGGGTGAAGCCGCACTCAACTGATTTATTTTGAGACTTGCTCAATAATCCAGGTGAGCAAATCCCAGAAAATTGATTCTGTTAATCCTGATGCTGAGAACTCTGTATCCAGATGAACAAATTCAACTTTCTAGCATAACCGTTTTACTTTCTGGACCACATTTATTATGCATAAGAGGTAACGAAAGTAGCACACAGCTCTCGGTAACAGTGACAAATGAAGACAAATCTTAAAAGGCAAATCTAAGTTCTTTAAAAACAAGACCATACTTACAAGAACCGCAAGAAGCAGCGTCTTGTGTCTCTCTCCACCGTTTCCTTAAATGCTCGGCTTGTCTTCCACAAGAAACTCTTGAATGTTAGGAAAAATACTCGGAGCGACCGGATAATTGGGACATTTTTGTCTGACTAATACCATGTGATAAACTAATGAATGAAGCATGAATGGCCAGTGTTGCAAAATAAATGGAAAAGACTGGAGATCATTCAGCTACGAGAACAATGTGCAAGTCAAAACGAAGAGAGAGGAAATACTAATGGTTCAGATTTTATACTTTATACATATTCCCACAATAAAACATTTTGAATTTGAGACAATCAAAAAAAACAACAAAAAGAAAAAGGATGAGAAATCAAAACAAACAACCACCAACACACATACATATAATTTAATCTGGAAACCTCATACAGGTACATACAGGGCACCCCTGGAATGATATCAGCCACTCCTTTAATTCATGACAGAAGGATAAGGTACAGTTGATGTAACATGAATAAATTAACTCTAAGATCATATCCAACCTTCAGTTTTGTTTCTATGGATTCCATTTTTGTGTGTGTGCGCGAGCCTATATATGTATATATATGTGTGATTGCCTGGAGCAGACACCTATTATCAACACAATGCTCCATGCAACCAATAATGTGCTGCAGAGGGTAATGAAACTGGGAAAACCGTGACACAGATGCTATGTTTGTCATGAAACTAATCCAGTTAGAGGACAACTTGTTTAACATCCAGCCAGTCACCCGATCCCGTCTTTCCTGACTGATCAGTGTAAACTGAGGCCCATGAATGGGAGCAGCAGAGCAAACCAGTGCTTACAGCTGTACACATCTGTAATATTGAGTTGCAGCATCTATCATGTCCCTTAATGCACAGAAAAAAATACAGCAATACATCACACAACATCTTTTTTTGCGTCAGAAATTTCACAGACATAAAGGAATGATGTCTTTTATATGACAAAATAAAAAATTAAAAGGAGTGTTTCTCTCTCTCTCTCGTACAGCAGAGGTTCTCAGTCCATAAACTTGCGGTTTGGGTTGGCACCGAAGAGAGCCACTCGGATTTCAGGCATCATCTGCAAACAGAGTGAAAGGATAAGCCAACAACCATCATCTCAGAGTAACTTTCTTTATAAAAGCGACACCCCGAGAGGAGACATTTACATTTTTATTGAATGACCAAACATCTAAAATGGGAAGACGTTCAATTTACTCCTCGCATATTTGAGAAAGTAAAGCTAGAACTAACTACAGTACTGTGCAAAAATCTTGAGCCCCTCCTGATTTCTTTATATTGACCCAGAAAAATGAATAAAAAAAAATAAAAATAAAAAAAAGGTGGAAATACAGTAAATAAGGTAAAAACAGAGTTTGTACAATGAACTTGAAAGTCAGTATTTAGTGTGACAACCTTTATTCTTCTTCACAGCCTGAACTCTGTTTAAAGAAGTCTTCAGGAACAGTTCTCCAGGCCTCTTGAAGGACATTTAAAGCTCTTTTCTGGATGTTGGCTGTTAAGATAATCCCACACTGCTTTAATAACGTTGAGGTCTGGACTCTGTGGAGTCTGATCCATGACTGAAAATGTTCCACTGTGTGCTTTTCTATCCAGGTTTGTTTTTGCTGTGTGTTTAGGATCATTGTCATGCAGAAAAATGAAGCTGTTGCCGGTCAGATGCTTCCAGATGGTACTGGATGGTGGATCAAAATCTGATTCTACTTTTCTGCATTCATAATTGCATCAATTTTAAATAGAACTCCAACACCACTGACAGAACCTTCATTGTGCTTTACAGATGGCTGTAGACACTCACTGTTGTACTTCTCTCCAGACCTCCTCCGGACATATACGATACAATTTAAACCAAAAACTTAAAATCTGGACTCACCTCCATAAGACCTGTTGCCACTGGATTTTCAGTCCAGCTCTTGAGTAATTTGGCATAACTCAACCTTTTCTCAGTTTCTCTTTCTTAATATTAAGCACCTTGAGACAACTGTTATTTGGGACTATATAGTTTATCTGTTATATGCAGACAACACTGGTTCTTCCCTTGGGTTAGGTGTCCTCCTTATGTGTGATTCACAGGTTCTTGTTAAGTGGCTTAACAAAAAAGAAAAGAAATTGTCATGTGCAGGACTGGAAAGGAGTGAAAAAGCTTCCAATGTCCAAAGCAAAGCTTTGACAGATCTTCAGAAAGCCTGGAGAACTGTGGCTCCTTGAAAGCAAAATATAAAGAAAAATGGGTGGCTCAAGACTTTTGCACAATCCTAAAATTTTCTGTCACCTAACAAGCTGATTCAGCAAATTACTAAAATCGAAGTTAGAATATATGGAATATTCTTGAACACCCGCTAATAACTCCCTTAATATTCCATCTGTCATACCTCTGTTCTCTGCCACCTCTGTAAATGTGCAATACTAATGAAAAAGAAACACTACAAAACTCGTTTTCCTGTTTTATTTACAGTTAATAGCAGTGTAGTTTTACTGAATTTTTAGAATAGAAAAAAAAATTGCTCACCTCTTTTAAACACACTGATATTAACTTCAAAATGAAAAACTAGCCTACAGCGAGACGGTAACTATCTTCATACTCTTCATATTGGTAAATATAGTGACATGTCTAAAGTCGGTAATGTTTATTTATTAAAAGCCTCAAATTTCTTCAAACATAAGCATTGTGTATCTTTTTAAAGTTTAAAACATAAACAGAAAAAAAAATATTGCACTAAAAAATGAAGTTTGGTATTAAAGCAAAGTCATTTTTTTCAAATGCATGTTAAGAATACTGTTTTACTTTTTCTATGTTGTGTACATTTTAAGAATTGAACACCATGCCACCAGTGTGACGATGATTTAAAATGTAAGTTTGTTATATATAAACAGAATAATGTGCAGTTAGAGTAGACTAGTGCATTTACAATGTGTGAAACAAGAAAGATAAAATGATAAGATATGCATTTCCTACCTGCTGAGCCATGAGGTCCAGTCTGCTCTCCAGAGTGTTGGACACCTTGATCTTCCCGTCTCCATTATAGATCTCAATACCTCCAGACCTGCATGCAGAAAAAGTTTGACATTTTGATCTCAAATTAAGAGGTGGCTAAGTTTTCAAGAGAACTTCCCCTTAGTGATCACTGGTTTGTCTTTCAAATGTGATTCTGCTTACACGTCAGGGGAGAGGAAGTTATCCTGGTCAATGCGGACCTCAAGGTTGTTCTTCACGGCTGCTTTATATATGGGAATGTTCTTCTGGATGGATGCCTGAAGGGTACAAGGAAGTTTGGGATGAGATTTCATCTGATACAAACAACTGGATCAGCACAAAATTTCCCTTCAGTAACTGAACGCGTATCATTAAACATGATAACTTTGAAACTGGGTTTTCCCCACACTGCCCACAGCAGGGCAGGTGATACTGCACTGCAGGGTAAAAAGGGTAAAGATACACCTTCTGTTTTACTCACCTGCACCAGCGGTATGTCCTGTTTACGACAGCGAATGGTGACTTTGGGCTCCAGCAGCTGGTAAAACCCCTGATGAGAGACGGTTATTATGTTATTTTAGTTTTTAAATATCTGCATAGAATGACAAATATTTGTCAAATATTTTTATATCATGAAAACCTTTCTGTATCATACAATAAAGTTTAAGATCAGCACAATGTAAATCCTCCAGAATTATCAGACAGTTGAATCTATATCAGTCTAAAACTGTTTTAGCAAAGAGTATTATTACATTCACAAAGCTTGACTTATTAAAAAAAAAACTGTTTGATTACACTTATCTAGACCAGAGACTGAATATTCAAGATGGCTGTAACCACCAGGGGGACCATGTTGTACTAACTAAGACTTAAATTCATCAATTGGGTCCAGAACTTCACTAGAAACAGGCTTACTAAGCTCATAATTCAAGTAAATAGGTTAATTTTCCCATAAACATTTATACAATCAGACTTCTTTTTTCCAACCAGAAGAGTCGCCCCCTGGTGGTCTTCAGAAAGAAAGTAGATTTAAGGCACTTCCACACTGGTTTATTAATCCCCCCCAATAATCAGACTCAACCAACATAACCTCCCCTATAAAATTATGAATTATCTTGCATAAATAGGCTGTTGTTTTTTCTTTTTTACTAATTTCAGGTATTACGAGCAAAATAGTTGCATGTTTAATCATCTGGGAATTTATCCAGATTTATTTATTTATTTAGACAGAGATCTTGACCCACCCCCCCACCCCCCAATGTTCAGCACAAAGTTATGCCAATGACCAAGAGGGGGAGGTCCAGAAACTTTGGGCTGTTTTTACAGAACAAATTAAACTGGAGACAGTGTTCTTAGGGGATTATCCAGAGGAACACAACCTAATTGCATCCACATCCATTGTATTAGTGAAATACCACCGCATATTTACGAAACGGAATATAATTAGCTTATCTAATTGGCCAGACAAGATTGATATGATCATAAAGTCTGGCTGGTCTTCTCTACAAGATCACCTCTTCAGGTATCATCTCAGCTTTCTGCACTGCTGGAATCAGAAGGAGGAGATGCTAAATCATTGTCTTTTATTTATCTATTTATTTTATGATAAATTAGCTGAAGTGACTGAAGTGATAAATTTGAAGTCACAAGGACAATGATTAAAAGGATCCACATGCATTGCAGTGGCAGGCAATCTGTCCAAAAATAACTGATGCAACTACGAGATAAACAGTAACTAAGTAGCTGTGTTAGGCCCGTTTTTATTTAATAACTGCTGATATTATTGAATTTAAGCAAACAAAAACAACAACAACAAAAGCTGAAAACTCTGTGAAATCAACTTAATATGTCATTGAAAGTTTTATTTTTCACGACAGAGGGAAAACACATTTGGACTTTATGCTGAGAGTGTGTGTATCCTTGTGTTTACAGTGCAGTGACTTTATTATGGCAGGGTCACAGCTCCCCTCTCACATTCTGGGGACACAAATGAGGATCCTGCTGCTCTAAAATAGCTGAAATCTTTTAGTACAGATGGAACTTGTTTTACAGAGTAAATTTCATTGGTCAGTGGGATGTTAGCGGACAGGCCTCGGAGTATAAACCAACCTGTAAGATCAGTCCGTCCATTAGAGTTGAATACCTGGCCGGGTCTTTTGCAATGTTAGCGAGCCGCTGGCGAGCTTCATTCAGCATTTCCTGAGGGTACAAAAACACACCTGATCTCTTCTGTTTGTACTCTCAGCTGTGATATTTAACCAACCCA